GCCAATGATGTTTAAATGTAAAAAAAAAAAAAAAAAAAAACTGGTTTGGGTTTTTTTTTTGGCACAATTTTCTGAAGTGAATCAGGGCAGCTATAAAGTCCCTTTGATTGGAAGAGACTATAAACAGCTAGATTTTCATAAGTTTTTGAAAGCAATCCAAATTCCCACCCTCAACCTTGCTTCTGCAGGTTCTGGTAGTATTTGCAAAATCTTTTCTTGTGAAGAACTGAGCCACTTCAAGTACTTAGTCTTCAGGCTTTGTACTTCAGTATGAAAATACTGATACACACAGCTAGAAACACATCTATAGTCACCATTATATTATAGTAAAGAAAACTTCTCAGAAAGGATCACTGACGTTTTTTGACTCTTGATGTAATATTTCCCTTTTTAATAGCAATTGATGAAATTGATCTCAAAAGAGATAGAATTGATTCAAATGATAAAAATTATGTAAGACAGTTCTGTGTCAAGGTTCAGCATAGGACTTAACCTTTTATTAGTTAAACTCTGATAAAGAGGGGTAGTGGAGGAACCTTTTCTCTCTGGATTTTACCTTTGCTGGTGAAAGAAAATGTTACATATAGTCCATTTGCATTATTTTCACTGAGCCAATTCTCCCATATGCTGTTGAGAACAATTGAAAAAAAAAAAAATGAAATGCATTAGATTTCCAGGAACAAGTTGCAATCTTAAAAGTTCCTGTCTCTTCTGTAATGAACAGTACTTTAACAATAGTGCCCTAAATACATGACTACAGATTACTTTAAATTGAAAATCCACACTGGTTCAAAAGAGATGGCGATTTCATTCAACATGAAGTGTTATTTACTTTCTGAACTAGTACCTGAATTACTGATGTATGATGCCAAAAGGTAAATTATTTTGAGCTAGATTTGAGTTTCCTTGTATTTTAATTTTAATTTCCTCACATTTTTTATTTGACAGAGAACTTCACATTCATTTCATTTCTTCATTTTGAGGATCTTACTCTTTTAATGATTGTGTTGCCTAATGCCCTAATCTGTTTATTATTTTATAACTTAGCTTGAACAATGCTGCTTCTGTTCCAAATAAACAGATTTGGTATGTCTATGAAATAGATTTATGTATAGTAGGATGCTTTACCATCTAGAAAAGCTCGGAGGTTTCTAAATGCTTAAGAAATTATAATACCAGTAGATTTAGCATTTGTATATCTGCAGGCTCATGCTTATTCAGTTGTATCAAGGCAGCTTAAGCTAATATCTAATCTTCTTATGGAATAGTTCTTCCTGTAACAACAACAGGATTGTGCATAACAAGCTTGAACACCCATGTGGCTCTACTGTTGTGTGAAAGGGAGGGAAGGAGAAGTTGCTTAACTTTTTTTTCTTTACCAAATGTTTGATTATCCTTGCATAGGACAGCACAAGAGTCCTGTTGTGTTGCTATGTATTCAACTCATACAAACCAAGAAGTCCTGAAGGAATCATTGTCCACCTTGATGTTCTCCTTTAGGCCACTAATCCATCAAAGTGGGAAATAGACAAAAGGTGCTGAAAAATTATTTTTATACTCTATTGAACTTAGGTATATATGACAATGGGGGAAAAAAAAACCAGATTGCATTTAGTTATCCATGTATTGGAAAGGAAAAGGTGTAAAAAAAAAAATTGCAATGTTTTCCTGAAAAATGACACTAATTACATACTGATATTCTGTTTCTGACAAAAAAAACACACAAACAAACAAAAAAACCAAACAAACAAAAACCAAAACAAAACCAAACTACTTATGAAGCATGAAATAGGAATCTAAATGGCCTTATATTATTTCAAATTCATACTTTGTAGAAAAAAATTAGGCAACTTAGTTGTATGCAGAGATTCAGCTCACTGCTCAATTTGCTCAACACTTTCAGTTGTACTATATTGGTAAAATTCCCTTAGGCCTCAAGGATAAGTGTAGATCCTCTATAGTGGAAATGATAAACGAAAGGAGTTAATCACTAAAGGAGCAACATGAGTTACAAAAATCTAGAAAGAATTTCAAGAGGTGGTGTAGGGAGAAAACAGTGTGGGGAATTGGGTAACTTTTGCTTTTTTGGAATGCAAAAGACTAACTAAATTTCTCTCTTGTGTGTTTCATTGATCTCATTGATGAGCTGAAATAACATCACAGCCAAGAACAATTTACCTTCTGATCTACCTCCAGATATTTTCTGCTCTTTAACAAGTAATGCAGCTAAAAGCATCCAAGGAGAAAAGCGATAACTTTCCTGTGCAGCTCCTGATCAGGTTTATTATGATATTTCAAAATAAAATTACTTAATCTTGTCCTCCTTGTTGCTTCATATACAAACCCTGTGGGTTTTTTTCCCTGCCTCTGTTTTATAAACCCATATCCATTTTTGACTGTGCTGAAACTATACTAAGTAATTTTACTGCAGGATGTTAAGTTATAAAATTGTTAAATATCATACTTAAATTGAGAAATAAAGAGAGCATAGTATGAATTTTGATGGATTTCTTTGTAAGCTGTAGTACTTTGATGGGAAGTCATAGTTTGTGATAAAATGAATTATTCTTTTTATTAATGAGAGATGTGTAACACAAGATATATGGTGTGTTTTCTAGTGTTATATAATAAAAGGAAATATCATGCTACCTATGAAGTAACTTAAATGCTTTTTCCTTATTCAAAAATGTGAAAAATAAAATCAAATATTTTGTTTATGTATTTGTGGTAGAGTTATAATTTGTCATACAAATCTAAACTGAATTTTTCAGGAAAAAAGGAAAACATTTTCATATAATGTCTTGTTCAATGTTCAATGTAGAAACTTCTCAGTGTAGAATAACTTCCAAGAAAAATGCTGACACTACAAATAGGGGGTTTTAAAATTGATATTTTGCATATTCATCTTTATCTTGTTACTATTTTTTCTTCAAATTAGGAATTTTTCCTCTACCCAATGCATAATTAATATAACAAAGTTATTTAAAAATAGCAAAATAAAGACAAAAACCTCTTGAAACCAGATATTTAGCATATTTTTTTCTCTTCTTACTGATCAGTAAGAAGAGCACTAATCAGACATCCTTTTGCATGTAGGGTCACCTTAATTTAAATAAAGCACAGTCACAATGTACAAAAAATGAACATTATCTTCACAATTACTGCTTCATGCAGCCAGCTAACTTTCAGTAAAATATGACTTGGTTTTCTCTTAAAAATGAATTTACCAGGTTCACCCAGGTTGTTTCATTTTGTTCATAACTGAATTGGCCATGTAACCAGTTTAGAAGACTGCAGAAATCTTATGAATAAGCTTTGGAATCATAGAATGTCTATGTCTGGAGTGCCCACAGAAAAGTTATTTGCAGCTTGCCTGACCTGTCATTCATGTAGTATTACTGTATCTATCTCTTTTCCTTCCACGTTGTTAGCTTTTGTTCTTTTATTTCAAACACACTTAATTATATTTTATTCTTATCACGCCATTGGAGGGAAGGGACAATAACAGATCCATTAGACTTCATTAGACTGATGATAAAAGCCAGAAATTCTAAAGGAATATTTACAAGATGAATAAGTTTTATTTAAAAGTATGGCTTCTTGGATCTTGTCATATCCTAATACATCTTTAGAGCTGTAACTAAAAAACAGCAAATGGTCCTAATCTATTAAACATGACAGAAAAGTATGACAGAGGGATTAAAATTATAGTCATACTCTTTCTATTTGTCATTTAAAAATCATTAATTGCTCTAGGCTGTTCATTGTTGTTAGTAGTTGAGCTATTTTAATTTCTTTGGTTTTACAGTTTGTAACTCAGCTGTCTCAAATTATGTTCAGTGGGATGAATTACAAATATAACTAATTATTATATTTTTCTTTAACTTCTAAAATTAAAATAATGAAATCTTTGAATGTTTTGGTTCCTATTTCATATTAGATAAATGAGAATTTAGCAGCCAAAAAGAACAATAGTTGCATGCATACTTTTGCAGATCTGAGCTTATCATTATTGCAGAGAAAAGAGGGGCAGTATGTGGACCAAAGGTGGACCAAGCATGCCATGAGAGTTTAGATACTGGAGAGCACAGCACTAGTATAAAGATAATATTTTTTTTTAATAGAGGATCTATTATAACTTCCTCTTTTCTTGCTAATAATAAAAAAAAAAATAATTAATTTTTAACAGCAATGAAAAAACCCACCAAAATGGATAAAATGATCCTATTTTTAGGTAGCACATGATGAACCACTCAACTTAGTTCAAGAAGGAATCAAGGATATAGAAAAGTGGATTAAATTGAAAGCAGATTTGTTCTTTATGTGGAGAATGTAAATATTGTTAATTCTAATAAAAATAAAATTACTCTTCTAAATCCTCAGAATGTAGAAGGTAAGTCATACTAGCTGGCTTACGATAGCTATGGAGGGGCCTCCACACAGACAGTGTTTTCTGTGTCTGTTAGGAGCAGAATTTCCTCTTACAGAAGGTGAACCCGGCCAGGTGAACCCTAGCGTGGTGCTACACTAGATGAATCGCCAGTCTAGTAACTTTCTTCTTATGTTGCAAATAAGAGGGATGCTTTATAGGATTATTGGGAGATAATAGGATGATATAGTGAGAAATCTTTTGAGGTGATAGAGGTCAGTTGGCTTAAATTTTCTCTCACTCTTGGTGTTAACTGAATATATGGGATGCACATCTGAAAGTGTAACAGTGTCAGAAGAAAGAACAGATGTCAGATTATTTTTGAATTTCTGTAGAAGTTTTATAAAGTTCTTGAAACGTTTTGAAGTTTTTCAGGGTTTGATTCAAATTACTATAGTTGCAAATTCTATCACTTTTATGTTACTCTCTGTTATTTTGTCTCTCTTTTATATGTGAGGCTTTTTTTTTTTTTAATATAATGCATGAGTCCAAAGATAAATTCAGGGATGATATATATATATTTTAGTTTTTTAGACCTCCACATTTCCTAGCTTTTCTTTCCTGGCAAATTCCATCATGCTGACCTATTGTTCCTTTTCACTTTAACTATATGTATGCTGTGCTTCTTAGCAGTGCACCAGAGATATAATAATTTTTTTCTCTTCTTTGCAAGGCACAGCTGAAAAATTGGACCCAACAGTATTCTGTCTCAAAAGCTTGTATAATCTCACCTCATTGTTAGTGTAATATAAAGAGTCTTCTGGATAATTTTGCATTTCACTAATGTTAATTCTAATCTTTCATTAAACTGCCTTTGTAATCTAAACTTCTAATGGAAATTTAGAAATATTTCACCACCTGCATATTTTCAGAACCATAGCTATTAGATCAGAATTGATAGCTTCTTGCACAGGCATGAAGAATTCTTTGAACATTTATGCTAATTGAAATGGGGTTTTTTAATTTTAAAATTTGAACTACATAATATTTTCATTTTATGTTTAGAAATGAGATTCTCACTAATCTTTTGCTTTCTAGAAAAGGCACAAGTTCCTTAAAGAAAGTTTTTTTAACATGAAAGTAAACCTGACTAGTCTTAATGTTACCAAGAGTTAGGAAACACCATCAGGACCTCCACACGGGGCAGGAACAAAATGTTTGGAGATGTTTAGAATAGCAAAAAGGAGTCATGAGAGGATATAGAATCTGTGACTAGAGCAGAGAAGTGAATCAGATGTGAGGCCAGTATGTGAAAGCCTCAGCAGTATCACTGGTTTCTTTCATTGAAGAGGCACCATAACACAGATGTGGAACAAGTGCTCAAAACAGAATGCATAGCTGTGGTGGTTTTCTGCTTCACTTTTGTGAAGCTTAGCTTTTTTATTTTTCTTTGCTCCTTCTTGGGCAGATGGACCACATTGGCCCCATTTGGTATCAGGTTCGCTTGGGAGAGGAGGAAGGAACGTAGGAGATGTGGTTCCGTGGAGTGTGAAGTTGCAGATGTGGGCAGGCAGGAAGATAAGATTAGGAGAGCAGTGCACATTCCCTGAGGCATTCATTGTGTATGCTGCTGCTGGTAGTAATATAAGCAGATGCTGCTACTCATTCATGTCTCAGGTCCTGGGTTCTGCATTGTGAAAGCTCTGTAACAGATGCTCAGCAAAAAATATTCCTCAAGAGGAAGGGCTGTGACAAACCTAAGCACCGATCTGTTAATGCTGTGGTCCAAAGTGACTCTGGCCTCATAATCTTGCGATTTTTTGAACAGACATGCCAGGAATTAGACTTTCTTTAAAAATGTGCACTAAAAATTTACATAAAATGGATGCCAAAAGTAAAAAAAAAAAAAAAAAAAAAAGGCCAAAAATTTGGGCAAAGATGGATGTTATTCTTCTCAAGCTGCATCAAATTCACACTTGAGCTTAGAGCTTAATTGTACTTAATGGCTCAGAAGGAGGCTCTAGTCTTAGTGACTGACAGAAACCCAGTGACTGTAACTATTAAAAATAAATTTTTAGATTGAGTCCAATTTGAATTAGAATAAGCAATCTCTTATTTTCTGATTAAGTGATGAGGGTTTTAATGAGCTCAGACACAGGGATGAGTTAGTGGCCATTCTTTAGAACAGAGTCCAATGGTTATGATATAATATTTTGGTGCTCAACACATACAGTTTAAATATGAGTCTAATAAATGGTTTCTACTCCTTGCATGATCAATGGAGAGATTCCAGGTAATTCCAAGGATGTTTAACTTCCTGTAGACACTATAGTATATTTCCAAGGGTATTTTGTCTTAAAACATATAAAATTAACAGTATGTTAATAATTCTAGAAGCCCTTAAATATTAAAATTTCTTTCCAAATTATGGAGAATCTTTGTTTAATAATGATGGGAAAGTAACAAGTTCATATTTCTGTTGCTAGAGTGCCCCTATCAGAAATTGCTTAATTTCCTAATTTATGGAAAGTCTCACAAATCTTCATCCCTTGGAGCCTTGAAGTATCTGGCTGTGTTCTGTCAATTACTGCATCTCATGTTGCCATTGATGTAGTAAGAGATTAAATCACATTTTTTGATGGTTTATTCTAATGTTAGCTTTAGCTTTGTAAAGATGATGTGAATCTATTACATGTACAGTTTGGGTAAGGTTTTGCTGAACGACACTTGCTGCTCAAACAGCAAAACAGTACATTAATAGTCATCATACATTATGTTCTCAAGCTAATCTGTTCATAGGATTTCAGCTGAAGATTGCTTAGCTTCTCAGTCAGGCTTTAATTACTTCAGAGGCTTACAAGGAATCTATGAATCTAATAATTCAGGGTGCTTGAAACTGGATTATTCAAGGATTATTGGTTGTCTGCAGTTACTTGTAATTAGCCACCTGATCTGGGCTTTTTCTGTCTGTAGGGGAGAGAACCTAGCTGTCTTAATATTGCACAGGACTGAGACTCAAGTCCTGTTAGCTTAGCTCTCTGAGTTGCTTGTAGTGCATGCTTTAAAAGGCATTTGATTTATCTGTGTGTAAATTTCTCTGTTGGTAGTAATGGAGACCACAATGATAAACCTTCTCTGGGAAACATTTTGTGAGTATTGAGAAAATCTCTGCATAGGACCAAGAACTTTTTTGTCATATCTAGTTAGCAGAAACAGATAAACTAGGACAAACTTTGAAACAGAGAAAATAAATAGCACAATAAACTTAATCTATATAAACTATTCTTGATAAGAAATTAATATCAATGTTAATGAGGCCAAACTCAATTAGGGTACAGTTAGTATCAAAAATATTTTTAGCTGCTGCTCTGAGCTTTATTTATGCATCTATCACTATATGAGAATCACAAATATTGTGCACTAAATCAGTATTAGGCATAAATTTTATAAGAACCCAGCATGTATAAGATACCGCTGATGCTCTTTCATAGCATATATTTATAACTTGAAAAAACAGTCACTGCTGTAGTATATGCACTGTATGCAAACTATTAGGTTCAGTGACTCTTTCTAACATTTTAGGTAGAAGTACCTCAGTAATGAAGCAAGGAAAAGGGGTATCTGATCCCAGCTGAACTGTTGATGTACAACAGAATTTTCTTTAACTATGAGGCTGTCTATTCACTGAGGGAAAGTACCTATTATTTGCTGCACAACTGTCTTACCAAACACACTGCCAATTTTTTGTCTGTATTAGATGTAAAAACACATAAAGCTACCTGATATCTTCCGAGGAATAGATAAGCTTGGCTGTCTGCTTGAAACTATTTAATTGTGTGTTTAGAATTTTTGAAATGACAAAGGACAGAGGATAGTCAATTAAACAGATGTAGCACTTGAAGCCAAGAAGGCAATTACTTATTTTTCAGTGATTCAAGCTACCAGCTTGCCAAAATATAGAGTAATATCATCTTCTGAAACAAAATATTTTTTTCTCTGAGCATTTAAAAATTAATCCTTGTTCTTTCTTATGGTGTTAATCCTCTTTGGCTAGTTTAGTCTCTTCTTTCTCAGTGTCTAAGCAGAATTTAATAAAAGCAATAGATTACACAACGATAACATGTATCTTGTTATTTATGATGTTTTTAAAGCATGTACTACATGTATTTATTCTCCAATAGCTCTCCTAGTTTAATTGCATAATTCATTACAGATACTGGCTTTACATCTTCTGGAGAAAAATTATGAAGCTGTGTAAAGGAAAAAAAAATCTGTCAAAATGGAATCACAGAATAATAGCATCATAGAGTATAAAGTTGGAAGGGACCCATAAGGATCACCAAGTCCAACTCTTTGATCCTTGCAGGACTTCCTAAAATTACATCATATGGCTACGAGTATTTTCCAGACACTTCCCTGGGGAGACTCTTCCAGTGATTGGCAACTTCCTCAGTGGAGAACCTTTTCCTAGTGTCCAACCTGAATTTCCTCTGATGAAGCTTTATTCCATTTCCTCCTGTCCTATCACTGGTCAGCAGAGAGCAGTGGTCAGCATCTACCCCTCCACTTACCCTTCTGGGGTAGTTGTAGTAACTGCAGTGAGGTCTTCCTCAGTCTTCTCTTCCTCGGTCCAACAAACCAAGTGACCTTAGCCAGTCTTCATATGGCTTCCCCTCCAGACCCTTCAGCATCTTCTAGACCTCCTTTGGATGCTCTATAAGAGCTTTATATCCTTTGAGGCATCTAAAACTGCCCCCAACACTCGAGGTGAGGCCACCCCAGTGCAGAGCAGTGTGGGATAATCCCCTCCCTTGCCCGGCTGCTGATGCTGTGCCTGATGCCCCCCAGGCTCCAGGGCACTGCTGACTCATATTCAGCTTGCCATTGACCAGGACTTCCAGGTCATTATCTGTGAGGCTGCTCTCTGGCCTCTCATTCCCCAGTTTCTATGTACAACCAGGATTTTTCAATCCCAGGTGGAGAATCCAGCACTTGCTCTTGCTAAATTTTATGCATCCATGTAAAATTGTTGAAGGCTCAAGAAGATTAGACTTCCAGAGTTTAAACTGTGAATTGCAATTGTCTAGGATAAGATTTCTGTCTGGATAGTCTATGGATATTTTGCATGGGATGTGATAACTGACTCTTGTATCCCTAATGAATACTACATTAAAGAAACATTTTCTGTCTTAAACACTAGAAGTGTCTGTTGCCTTTGTGTTGTGTCATCACATAAACCTAAACTTTAGTTCTCTTTATAATGAAACAAAAAATTTTCATCTATTTTGCATGTTACAGAGTGACAAATATGTCAATTAATGTAAAGATTTAAAAGTCTGTCTTGTGCAAATATGTTGTGGGCTTGGAATAGTCATAGGAACTTGATTTCTTTTTAGGTACCAAACAAGTGGCAAATACAGATACTTCCATTCAGAAAATTTACAATTCAACTGTAAGACTACAGATAAGAAAATAAATTCTGAGAGGACCAGAGGGGCATAATGCTAGTATGAATAACTGCAGTCACAGCATGCCATGCATATTGCTAAGGTGGTGTATTTTCTTTATACAGACTTGTAATGTAAGAAAGGGAAATGGCAGTGTAGGGGTTTTCCCCATTTATGTCAGGGTATAGTATAAGGAGTTGATACTGATTTATGAGTCTCACAGAGCTTGAAACTTGACTTTCCAGAACTTGTTCCTCTGAGGCAATACAGTTAGCAGCTCTCTAAATGGAACTAGTAGCTCAGTACATTTCAGTGAGTGGTGATAAAGACTAAAGATCCCGAATGTAAGATTGGCATCCATTTCTTGGTGCAATGAGATAGATCCTCTGGGCTTTCGAGGTTTGGATGAAAAATGCAATCCTCTTTTTTAGAATTTTTATTTGCGTGGGGCAAGTTTAGTAACAGGGATCTTGGTGGATGAATTATATCAGTAGTTTTGATGTATATTCATTTGATGTATTTTCATTTTTAAAATAAGGCTACAAAATCTGTAACTTTATTGTTTTGAACAATTTGAAATGAATTTTCAAAAAAAAACCCCAAACATTTCATATTCAGAATGAAAAGTAGGTGTGTTCTAGATTTTCTTATATGATGAGATAGAATAAATACCAGGATGTGGATGAAATGTGTAAGTGAATAATCACCCTGCATGCCAATCCTGCTAAGTGACTTCACCTTATGATGAATGATATGGAAGATGATGAGACTCAGCATTAGTCTGGATATGCCTGTAAGTGCTGTTTATCTCCATTAACTATCTATTAATTAATTTAATGTACAACTTTGAGATAGTCACTTTTAGGAAACTCGTCCTTACAGGATAGTGAAGACACTTTCTGTGCTGCTTATTTTTACATCTTTCCTGGTCTTTACAAGATTGGACAATGTCTGGTGAATTCATTGAAATGTTGATTACACTGTCATTATGTGTCCTCTAGAGTTTTTTTGCAGGAGAAGAATGAGATGATCAATGTGAAGTACTGTGAATAGATTTAACTAGATTGCAACATGGCACTTTTACTGGAGGAGGAGATTCCATTTAAAAATATACTATCAAATGTGTTCTTCTTAAATGCTGAACTGATGATTCTTTTTATTTGGCTTTTCTTTCTTGAATGTGCCATTTAGAAAATTAGCAGAGATCTGTTCGCTGGAACTGTGGGTTTGTCTGACAGTGAGCACTCAACGCGTTTTAGTGTTTTTTATATTCTTCAAGGTTTTTCTTCCTTCATTGGTTGATACTTCTGTATTTTGACTGTCCATCTTTTATAAAACATCCTTTTTATGAAAAGAAATTAAGAATTCAGAATCACAGCCTGTAAAAGCAATTTGAACTGGATGGAAAAGTTTTCATGAAAAATCTTTGCATTAACTTTCTAGTCCAGCACTCCAGACTCTTGTAGTTGTTCCCTAGTTGCCTTGTAGCTCTGTTCTTGTACGCTGTCTGATAGCACCTTGGGTACTGCTTAATTGCCATGCAGATGAGGAGAGAGGCTTTTCGTAGACAGTATGCTTCCCTTAAGACAGGAGCATATATCTTCAAGCATCTAAGATAAAGAAAAATAATTACTAGGTATACCTGTTTATACAGCAAATAAAAATAAAAATATTTAAAACAATCAGTTGTAGTGTCATCTCTGGGAACAAAAAAGCACCCAAGACTTGTCACAACTTGTCACAATAATTGCATATTTTAGAGGAGATAGAAGTTGCTGGAATTATTATGAGAGTTTTATGTCTTAGTGCCTGATCTTTGTTTACTCGACATCTGGAGTATTTCCCTGTAGTCTCTGGCTTCATCAGAATTTATAGAGATGTAAAAACTAAATTTGACTTTAGAACTTTTATATTTAAACCTTCTTAATTCTCTTACACTGTTGCTTCTCCTAAATATGCAAATCTTTTCAGCTTCCAGGATTTGTGAATTCCTTCAGAAAAGGCCCTTAGTGTGTGATAATTATGTATGTATTTTATTATCTAATTGAATAGCTATATTTGGAATTACTTATCCATTGCACTGAGATCTTTTCAGTCTGATCTGGACATCAGTTTAAACGAGCTTCCATAACAAACTTGTAGTGACTTGGATGAGAGTCAGTCGTTCTGAGTTCTGGATGAACTCAGTCTCTCAGTAGGTAGATGCTTCTGTTAAATGTGGATAAAAAGGAGGTGAAGGTTGCACTTTGCAGTCATGTGAGTAAGAAATGGTGACATTATTAAAGATTTTCATATATTAGGTATGAAGCTCTTAGAAACAGTACCAAAACCACAGAAATATTAGGGATGGTGTATTTTTAAAAAGCTGTGCAGTTTATGTACTCTTAAGCAGGTTTTTCAGCATCATGAATGTTAGTGGTATGGACGGCACCTGAGGCTTAGTAAAAAAATTCCACTTTCACCCTTCATTTTAAAATATATATTAAATGTATTTTAAAAAAATGGTAAGCTAATAATACTGTGGTCTGGATAAAGTATTATCAACACCAGAAATATTAGTAGAAACATTTTTATTTCTAAAGACTGTAATTTCAGCTGGAGCATCAGGTATCTTGGTTACTGTGTTGGAGCTGCAAGTGTTGGTTCATTACCATCATAATAAGGAGGGCACTTGCACTGTAGAACACCACTTAAAAATGCCATTTATTGGAGCTAAGACTATAAAGGTATTTTGAAATTTTACAAGATTTTCTTAAAAAAACTCTATTCTATTAATGAATTCCACTGTCAAAAAAAAAAAAAAAAAAAAAAAAGTGATGTTCACATGAGAACTTCTTCCTGCCTTTTTGCCTAAATACAATCCCCATACTGAGTAGCTGCTCACAGGCTCCTGTGTCATTGTGGGTAGTCTATGGTTCTCCAGGGGATACACACAGCACAGCACAGCACAGCACAGCACAGCACAGCACAGCACAGCACATGTGTGATGTGACAGGTGTGATGTGACATAAGTCTAGCAAAGAGCAACACATGCATCACCTGCTCAGGTTAACTGCTCTGTGGATCACTAACTCCTTAATTTACACTGGTCTTCTGGTTACAATCACTAGAGGTACAGTTCTGGAATTTTAGAGAACTCACTTGGTGTGGTCATAATATAAAGAAAAATCATATTATATTGTAGAAGTGGTTAATACTATTTTTTTATGCTCAGTTTGAGATTCAATTTTAATCTTTCTGATAAGGTCTGGACTATGATAATACTTTAGTCATGTTCTGTCTGAAGATGACTTTGTCATTAACTCATTTTTAAAGGTGGAAACAAATGTCAGCATGTTATGTAACAATATATGGTTCCGTTTGTTTAATTTGTTGGGGTTTTACTGTTTTTTGGTGACTTGAGGACAAAGATCTTCATCTTCAAATGTATCTGATGGTTTCAAAGGATCAGGGTCCACACTTTCTGCATGGTAACTTCTAAATTGGAAGTAGAGGACTTGCATCTGTCAAACTATATGTAAGTGAAATACATGGGATGCATTTGCACTTTTTTCTCTTTTTAAAAGGTAACATTTGCTTATGCTAGTGAGCCACAGAATTATGCAGCACCTAAAATTACAGGCTGTTGGGAGAAAGCTGTACTGGTGTCCCACCTCTTAAGGGTTCTTGGAGACACAAGCATTCAGTTCCTTCCTATGCTTTGAAAGAGGAACTGGATTTGAAGTTCCTCCATTTTAAGTTCTTTACCTGATTGTTTATGCAGTCATTCACCCCTCGGACTTTCTGTTGGTGTACAGTGTTCATAGTTGCTGTTAGCATCCAGTTAGTCTGTAGTGTTATTCTGTATGGCTCATGTGGCTTTCCTTTATTTGCTCTTTTGGTTTCTGTTCTGGAAGGCCTCACAGTTTCCTATTCTGAAAACAACCAAAGAACTAAACTGTGACTACTTTTGGATCTGGAAAATTTGTAGACATCAAAACATTTAAATGTCTAATTTAAGACATTTCCCTAGACTTTCTTCAGAGTCAATAAAAAAGAAGAGGCAGACCCAGCTCTGATCGATCCTGTTATTTTGTGCATATATCTTATGACAGAATGGTTTGTTGGTGATGGTGGCCCCTGACTGAACCATGATGACTAATGTCAGATAAATGTCTTTTAGACTGCTAAAGAAGCCACAGTTAAGTCTCACCTAAATGTTTTACTGAAGGGAATTGAAAAACCTATGGTGAAGAAAGTGTTGACAGTCTGCATTCTTAGCTGTTTTACTGATAGCTTGGAAAACATTTTTTAATTGTGCGTCTACCCAACCATCCTACCTACTCCTTTTCGATAGTTGAATTTTGGTATATGACACAGAAGATTTCATCTGTCTTATTCATTTCACATTCTGTTAGTTTCTTTTATATAATTAAAACTTCTTGGCCATGACCTTTCATCAAAAGAAGACTAATCACTTGAAAAATATTCTTTGAATGCCTGAAAAAAACCTACTATGAATGTGCATGACAATAATTAAATATGTTTTGCAAAAGGAGGCAGAGAGCAGGGCATATACAAGGAATTTGTGACTAATTGTACAGTTTATTCTGTAAATGTATAGAAAATAAAATGTTTGTGCTGTACTGAAGTACTCAAGCACTAGAATATTAATCTGATGAACAGATCTTTCAGGGAGACAGCAAAAACATCTTTGAGTCTAAACAAAATGCATGAATCATTCTTTAAAATGCAAGTAAAAAAAGATAGTATTAGTATTGTCCCACTTTTCTTTGCAGAGGATTCGCTTTAGTGCTTCAAGTTGGTCAGTCCTCTGATGATCCCCACAAGGTACAGTTTAATATGCATATAATTGCTTTTTAGACTAATTTTTTTTTTCAGTTAAGCCTATTATTCTTTTACTATTTTACTACTATTCTTTTACTCTGCGCTGTGCAGCTTCTACAGGTATTTCCATGGAGGCCCTGTTTCCAAAGTCTGGAAGTGAAAACATTCATACTAAAAACAAGCCAAAAATGTAAGTTAACAGTGAGGCTAAGAAATTTTAGTTTGAGCTACTCTTCTCAGTGCATATAATTTTGGACATTAGGAATAATTTGTTCACAGAATGGGCTGCCAGGGATGTGATAGAGCAATTTTTCCTGGAGGTGCTTAAGAAAGGACTGGATGTGGCACTTAGTACAGTGGTCTACTTGACAAGCTGGTATTAGATCATAGGTAGGACTTGATGATCTCAAAGCTCTTTTCCAACCTAACTGATTCTTTGATAATGGCAGTAATAATGCAAGAATATTCCAATTTCACGTAGTTTTTCAGAATACATCTCATTTCATTGGCATATGGGTATGGTCTGTTTAACATACAACTAGATCTTTGAATATATTTTGTTATTGGATACCTCCTAATAACTGAAATATTCTCCAAGAGAAAATATCAAGCTCTCCATAGAATTTCATTCAATACTCTGAAGATCTGAAAGGTCAAGGTTCATCCAGTAGGCTCCTAAATCAGTTGTGTGAATTAGAAGTGCAGTTATGCTCTAGATTTTTGGAATCTTAACTTTTCCATCTCACACAAGATTATCTGTCATTAAACAGCTACATATTCCTCCCACTGTATCCATATTTATCTGTTGATCAGAACATGTTTGCTAGTTTGAGCCATTAAATTATCTGCAGTAGGTCTCAGTGGTCTATTTTCAACAGTAATTTAAACTTCATGATAGCAGAGGCTCTTTCAGACCTGCTGTGTACACCACTAGTGTCTTGCAAGAGGAATGTGTTACTATGTTATGATTTATTTGGAACAGCAAGTAAATCAGAGATTAAGGGTCTGGCTTAATCATTTCAGATTGCAGCTACAAAAGAAGTAGCAAGAGAGTGGAAGAGGAAGGTTGACTCAAACATATTCTGTATAGAGCATTTATTAAATGTGGTATTCTGTATTTTTTCTCTTGGTTCCTTTGGAAAACACTCTCCTTATCCTTATTTGGAGATGAGAGGGATTAGTACACTATCTTCTCATGTTAAATAGGCCATAGAATGTCACCCTCTGTACTGAACATAGTGTCTGTTTGCTGGATTTTTCAGATTTTGCTGAAATCTGATATCAGTAATCTAACTTGCACATCTCTAAATGAGAAATTTTATTAACCTTGATAACTGACTTATTTCCTTCTTCAAAGAAACAGGATAAATAGGTGTAACAACAGATGTTTTTAAAAACACTTTATCTTAGTTTCAATTAGTTCCTCAGTGATTATACAAATATATCAAAATTTAAGGTGCATGTCTTCAGATCAAAATTTTTGGAAAATATTCCTGATTTGGCTTAAAAGAGAAATGATTTTAAATATTATGATATACAGTAATATAATATAATATATAGCAATATATAGTAATACATTATAGTATTACTCTAGATATGTATTTTAAATTATCCAAATATTTAAACTCCTTCATTCAAATTTTTATTTGAATATGATTATAAATTTTACATGATATCCTTTTCCCTTCAGCAGAAATAAAAAAAAACCTTACATATCAAAAGATTATGGAAATAAGCTTCCTGAATTCTCATAATAACATTGAGCATTTATGATGATGAAGAAAGACTCTTTGGTGTGTAAAAAAACCTCAAACCAAACCAATCAACAAAACCTGGACCAAAGGATTGGTGAGGAGACAGTAAAGAAAGAAGAAAATTAGTTCTTTACAAATTATCATTGGACATGGCAATAACAATGAATGTTATCAAATTACAAGGTAATCAATCAGATTCATATAATTTCTCAAAATGTTTCAGAGGATGAAATCAGTCTTTTGATGAAACTGGAGTTTTGCTAATACTGCCTTTTTGACAGACAACACGAGTGTAGACCAGCAGGAGAAGATGCTGAGGTATTGTAAATCTGCTAAGTGCATATTCAGATAGAAAAGCTAAAGAAAAGGACTGCTCCACTTAAGATGATTGGGGGAATGGTGTGGAGAATAAGGGAATGGAGACATTTAGAAACTACCTGCCATCTGCCTCAGACTATCCCAGAGCCTATTCTTCCTAATTTGTGGCCTTGTGCATTGCAGATACTTCAGCAGCTGGGAAGAGCAAAGAAGAACATGGACTCGACCTTTCTCGACAGTATTTCAAGGTGTTATTGGTGTAGTATGAAATGCATAGATGAAGAAAAGCACCCAAACTTAAAAGCTTTTTAGTGTGAAAATATTTTGAATGCCCACAGTTGAATGTATCATTTATGGCATGAAGAGTGGCGATTAAGGAAACCTCGATACAATTTTGCAGGCATTTTGCAAACATCTTGTCCAAGCAGAAATGAGGATGAAAGAAGACAGCAATTAGACAAAAGTGCTCCATGTATGTTTTGACATTTTATTAAAGCTCAGTAGAGTTGTTTTTATCAGCTGTTCAAAGGGGAAACAGTTTGGTACACAGAAGAACTAGTGCTCCTCTAGGTACAATTGGCAGGCACCACTACACGTCTATCTAAGGCATAGATAGATTTACAAAGACAAAATATTTCAGATATTTGTCAATTTTTTTTTAATTTAGATTTTTTTATTTTCTATTTCTGGTTGCTAACCAATATGCTGTTATCTGGTATTGAATGGCTCCAGGGCCCTGCCAGAAACCTCTTGTCCTGTGTTTTGATACAGCCAACACAGAACATGGGTTTCCAATTGCAATTGGCTTACAGAATTGCATCACTTCTGTTCCTCCTACCCCTCTGTAACTCTGTATCTCTTCAACAGCCATCTAACCATGCTGCCATGTGAAAGAATGAAACGGCTAACGTTTAATTTTCATAGGACAGAACAGGCTATACCATGTATAATATATACAGTAAATCTATGATATTGAAGCATCTGACTAATAGTTATAAAATAGGGTATTTTTATGTAGGTGAAAAAGATTAATTTAAATACTGTTTTTTGAGGAGATGTTTTGGTAATCAAAAGAAAAAGGTGGACACATTAATCAAGAAGTTTTTTCAAATCAAATTTGACAATCTTTGCATAGAATGCAAGTGTATAAGAAACTTGACTAACACCAAAGTCTTCATATTGAGAAAATACATTTTTTATGGAAAAAAATCCCAAATAAGCTAAATTAAGTGTAGATAAATACTTCCAATATGTAATAACAATAGACTTCTTAAGATCTTAAGGACATTTTCTAATAAATTGGAAAAATTAAACCTCTTCAGAGCAGCATGATCCCTAAATTTTCTTTCTATTGTATATGCATGTATACAGGTATGTATAATTTTTTTTCTCCCCTACAGCTATTATTTCAAATATCGAAAATTTTTAGACAGTCCAGAATATTTATTATTATTGTATTCCTCATTATATATGTCAGTTTCTAAGCCACAGGCAAGCAGCACCTACCTGGCTACTTCTTGAGCCGTTAACAGGATCTTCCATGATAAATGTTTCATGAAAAATGTGTATGAACTATATGGAAAGTTGCTTTGGCATGTCATAGAAATTTTCCAGTCTGAGTAATCATCTCATTATATTATGACTATTCCCTACCATCCCTATCAGATATACTGGTCAGATGCAGAAGTAAATTTTTAAAACTGTCATTTGTTTAAGATAGGGCTAAATTAATTATTACACATCTCTAATAGGGCTTTCCTAAACTACAGTTTATAAAGTGCTACTTCCCTGAAAACTAGAACTGAGAGTTTCTTTGTATCTTGTCATAACTTTCTAGGTGTTTCCTCACAAACAATTGACTTTTTTCCCCTCTCTAATGTAAATAATCTTTAAAGAGACTTGAAAAAGAAGAAACCCTGAAACCAGCATTGCAACTATGAAAATAAAAAGATATAGAAGATGTACATACAGTAGATAAAAGGAGTTTATTTATATGAATGTAGATGAGGTCATTTACAGCGTTACATTGAGCTTGTAAATCGTATTCCTTTAAAACAGAGATCAAAAGCTGTGTGACAGGGTTGATCTGATCGGGAATAGAATTTTTTCAAGGGGATTTAATATGGATCAGATATTCATTACCATCTGTTTTGCGATACAGGTCTTCCTTCCTGTAGATCACTCTCTAATCCTCTCTGACATTGCACTGCCTGTTCACTTCCTGTGTAACTCCTCCCCTGATGACACAGCCCCTCAAGAGCAGCACACCTGCTGAGGAGAGGGGACCACCTCTCCAGCCCCAGGGAGAGGCCCCAAGGATTCCCTGTAGCCTGGGGTTCACAGGGCTGCACCCACAGCCTGAAGCTCTGTTGGGGTTGCAGCCTCTGCCCTGGTAGAGGTGCTGACCTGGGGGAACCTGTGCTGTGGCACATGCCTGCACCTGAAAGCATGTAGGGTGGTCTGAACTGAGATGAGACCCCCTCTTTGTGCTCCTGCATCCATTAGCTACAGTCTGGGAGCTGTGCTTCAGCCCTGGCCCCTCCCAGCCACACTTAAAGGGCCTTCAACACTCTCAGGTAGGGGTATCTGTACCAAAGGCAGTGGGTATGCTTGAGTCACAGACAGCTGGTTCACCTTTTTAGGAGCTGCTAGAGCTTTCTCATGCTCACACACATGGCCTTGCCTTCTCCATATCTGGCAGCAGACTCTCAGAGAATTCCCAAGGGTCCTCTGAGGATCCAGAAGCTCTTAAAGCAGAATTCAGCTAGGAATTTCAAAATTCTCTGATGAACAGTATATTCTTGACAATGATCATTATTGATTGCTACAGTCATTCTCACAGACCAGTTAGAACAGGAGAATAAGAATGCAGATTTTTATCTAAAATAATCCACTGTAGTGTTTTAGAAATATTGTACTCAAAAAAATAACCAGACAGGTGAGCACTGAATACAGAAGTGCTTCTAAGACAGCACTTAATTTGGGAACATGAAACCTGAATACCATCATAAAACCATCTCTCTGAAAGAGAGGGACAACAATTTTTTACTTGATTTGTATTTTTTTTTTTTTTTTGGATATTAGGTTTTAGAGGTGAATAATCAAGATAATGGCATTTAAATTACAACCTGGATACAACCTGAATCTAGTTTACGATCATGTTCAGCATTTTGACTTGATGGAGTCAGCATTTTTATCCATTAGGAAGTTTTTCATACTAGATTTTTGAACCAAAATTATTCAATAACTCATTTTCTTTGTTATACCTCAGTTTCCACTGCTATCTATGCAACTTCAGCAACCCTCTGTTCTCATGCATTAGACATTAGACATCTCTCCCATTAGACATTTTCCTTGCCTTTCAAAGATGTGTGATTTTCTCTGACATCTGACTGATCCTTGAGGGAAAAAGGAGATGAAGAAGCAGGAAAGGGCGATAGTAGTGTTTTATTCAATTGCCAGTGTGTAGCAAAATGCAGCAGATATTTAATCAAGGAATTCTTTGTGGCTTCTCTTTTCCAAGATGAGGTAGTGGAAACAATATATATTCTACTTCTCTAAAGCATCTTTTGATAACATAAAAACATTGTCCCTATTATTCAAAGGTAGAAGCTGAAGTTGTAAGGAATTAAGTGGCATTTTCTGAAATCACACATTATTCAATATAACATAAAATTAGGTCATCTTGTTCTGATTCTAGTGCATAGTTCAACATACCCCAGTGATAACTCAGACTCAATAAGACTTGGGGGAAAAATAGATTCAGCAATTCAGGATTTTTCCAGTTTTTCTTCTATTTTGAGATACTTAGTTTACACAGGTTTCTTATGCATTTTGTTGTACCTTCTAAATAGTTCTATGCAACTCTGCCAATTTGCATGTCTTTCATCTTTGCTAGGAAGTGAACTAATGTTAAAAATAAAAAATCTTAAGGAAAGATGAAGAATAGCAACTAAAATCTCATGAGATGAGAACTTCCTTAAAGTTTTTTTGTTTTGTTTTGTTGTTTTTTGTTTTTTCTAAGAAGAATGGATGGAGAAGACAGAGGATATAATTGTCAGGATGATTATGTGTTTAGTACTAAAGGGTTTTATGTGGAGAATTTCTGAAATGTTGTCCCAGAAGTGCTCACTTACTAGTAAAAGCTTTATATGAGATCCCATGAAAATAGAACTTTAATCTTTCAAGCTAATCTAAATAATTTAGACAGATTTATTTACAGAAGGATTTTCACAGAACACAATAAAGTTGCTGGAAACAGATTGCTCATGGTCTCTTTTGGATTAGGCTAGATTTTTAGATGTCATTAAAATGTATGTCCTTTTTTGTTTTGTTTTAGTGGAATAACTTCCCCTAATTCCTTGATCATTTTTTTCCCTGAAAAAATGGGTTGTTTCCTTTCAGCCATCTCATAATATTTTGTTTTGTTTTGTTTTTCTGAAACTCCATTCTGAAGAAAAAAGAGAATAAAATACTTTGGTGAAAATGAAGTTAAAGAAATATGATAGATATCCTGCTGGCAGACAAGAGAATTAAATGACAGAGTTGTGTGAGCTTATCTGCTTCCTCTTGAGGGAAACCATCTTGCAGTTCATTGATGTGGCATATCCTTTTTCTAAACATTCCCAGAGCACATATGTTCAGACCTTTGTACCTTACTTTTCTATATTTGGGCCCTGGAGCTTGTTTTGCAAACATATGAGAAGCAGAAGCTTTTGCTCATATGTCCCACTTTCAGAGTCACATGCAATCCAATTTCTAAGCTGTTGTCATTGCTGCTGTATTAGCCTGGTAAAGTTCAATTTAAACAGGCAGTAAATTTTGTTTATCATCATTGCCAGAAGAAAGTACGGCAGTAGTAAAGTTTCCAGTAAAGATAAATAAGAATGGTATTTTTTTCAAAAAGCCTTGTAAGAGACGATACTCTTGTTACAACTTGCCCCTGAAGATGGGGTAACTGAGGTTCTTGTTGATAATAGATCCCTTGGGGAGGATTTGAATGAAATGGCACTAAATCACTGGTGTTTATAAACATACATATGGCAGGTTTATTTCAAAACCATTTGGTTGCAATGGAAAGTAGGTATGTAGCCATTTTGGTTATTATCTGTAGAAATACAGCAATATAAAAGCATAAAAATAACACTTAGAACATGAATTGAGCTTATTGATACTTTCCCTTCCCTTCTTTCTTATTAATGTTCATAGTGATACCTGATGACTGAATTAGCCAAATTTATTACTACTTCATATCAAGTGCTGCTTTAAGGTTCTGAATTATTTGGCCAATAGTAAGCCTGTACCAGTCTCTGGTTAGTTTATTTATATTTAAGCTTTGACAACAAAGAAGGATTTGGTGAGTTGTTTTCTCTTATGTACCAAGACAGTCTTTTTTTGGCATCACAATTCTTAAAGGATGAAATAATATTTGGTTTGTCTTAAAAATTAACTTTTGATATATTTTTCCAAGGC